GAGCAGCAAAGATTCCTATACATGGATCCATCCTGAGAGAGGAGGTGCTTGAAATTGCTGAAAGGCTTAAACTCCAAGGCTTCAGTGCATCAAATGGCTGGATCGATCGATTAAAAAAAAAGGAACAATTTATGCTTCAAATCTATCTGTTGCGAATCCAATAGTGTGGATATGACAATTGTGTAACAGTGGAAATAAGAAACTCTGCCAAATTTATTAAAGGGCTATAATCCAACTGACATATTTAATTCGGATGAAACGGGATTGATTTTCAACCTATTGCCAAACGAGACATTGACAATTAAAGGTGAAAATTGCCATGGAGGAAAGCTTTCAAAAATGTTGTTTTGCTCAGTGCAAATGCCGATGGTAGCCAAAAGTTAACGCCTCTTGTGATCGGTAGAGCAGAGAAACCACGGTGTTTCAAAAATATCAAAAGTTTTCCTACCAATTACACTTCAAACGAAAAAGCATGGGTGACGCAAGCATTACTTAAAAATTTTCTTCGAAAACTGGATATTAAATCGAACATCATTTTATTCCTAGACCAATGCACTGCTCATTTAAACCTTAAATTGAAAAACGTGCGAATAGAGTTTTTTCCAGCTAACTGTACGAGCAAACTTCAACCACTGGATTTAGAAATTATACGATCATTTAAAAAGAGTTGCCGGAAGCAACTCAACTAGTTAGAAAATCTCTAATGTTTCTTGATTCTGGTTACTTTCAGGATGCTTCTAAGGCAAAAATTAATGTTCTTGAGGCTCTTAATTTGATATCTTCAGCTTGGGACAGTGTCGACCGAAAGTGCATTATCAATGGATTCAATAAAGCAGGATTTTCAATATCGGAGGAGGAGAGCGCTGTTGTTTTGGAAGAAGAAGAAGGTAGCGTGTCTGAAGTTGAGGACCTTCTGGAAGTCTATGATGCATAACATCGACTGTGACACAGATATCATTACTTCAGAAATCCCTTTCATAAGTGATTTAATGCCTGATTCCGACGATAGTGCTGATGACGATGAAATAACAGAAGACGTGCCAACAGCTGATCAAGCGATACAAAGCATAAAAACTCTAAAACAATTTTTACTTGCAAATGTAAATCAAGTAGAAAATTTGCAAAAAAATTTTAGTATTGAACGAGCTGTATACGAAATTGTAGCTAGAAACGAAAAGCAAGTAAAGATTACTCATTTTTTCCATTAATTTAACTGGTAGGTGTCAATTTTAAAAAATATGCATGGATTTTTCTTAACCCCGATTTTACGTTATTCAATTCGAGCGTTTTTTATCGCTAGTCTGACAGAAAACGTAAAATCGGGCTTTCACTGTAATTACAAATCTTGTTTGTCGAGTTATTTTGTAATAATATATTTTAAAAATTAAATAAAGGAGATTTAAATTGATTTTTTTGATTTTTCTTAAACGTTTTTACTAGTCTGAAAGTTTTTACTCAGTCGGTACTTTATATTGTATTTTATTGGAGATACTACAGTTGATTTGTACTTCTCTGTGCACTTAATAGTACTTTTTAATAGAACTGAGTGTTAAGTGTTCGTGATGTATCGATCTATTAATCAGAGGACTCGAACACACATAATAATTTATTTTCAAAATTAATGATATAAAAATTGACAAGATCATTGTAAAGTGACAGGGAGATGTGCCCTGCTCCAGAGTTGAATGGCAACTGAATTCTGACAATTGAATTCTGAATAGCAACTGATATTGACTTGAGCTCCGCCTTATGGCTTAATTGGACAATTCTTAACACTGAGTACAAGATGTTCCATAAAGATTACTCCTTCGATACATTTCTAGAGTTCTTGTCACAAATGAAGTGAAAAAAAGGATCACAAATTAACACAGTAGAGAATCATTTATCCGGTATTGAGATAACCGGGAAACCAGAAAAACGGGGGAAATTTTGCTCTATTTTCCCATCATTTTAAACTGGAACGATTATGAAAAAAAGCAGAAATTGGACTCATCCTTGAAGTAGAGTAGAGGAAAATGTGAGGAAGGGGGGAATTCCCCCCTCCCGTTTACCCGGAGAAACGTCATTTCTTCTGTGACCTTGAAAATCTTTAGATCGAGAGAGGCAGAGAAGGGACGAATGTTTTATTTTCTCCTTTAGGCTGTCAATCAAACTCAAAGGAGTGGCATGCTGATTTCGTTTTCTGTTTGATTTACGAGGGGGTGGGGGGAAAATGCATTGCACATGCATATCAGTGAACAGAAGACGAAATAAAAAATATATTTATCTATTTGACATTGATTAATAAAAATAAAATCTTTTCCTTCTGAATAAATTCTGATTCTTTGAAAGCGAGGTATCATTTTGAAAGTTTTTCTTGATGTGGAATCACACCTGCTTTAATTAAAAATCGTGTTTTTATAAAAATTATGAAAGGAGAATTGTCTATTAATTTAAACATACGATTATTTTATGAAGCAGATTGCATTTTTGTTTTCCTGATTCCACAATGTTTGATATTTTTTCTTTTCACGATAAATTTCGCACTCAATAAATTAGTTCTTTTTATTCATAAGTTTTATCATTAGGCTTTTTTTTTAAAATTCCGTTGATCTTATTGATCTTACCTTGTTCCGAGTGCCTTTTTTAACTATCGTTTTGGTTCGATAATTTCCAAGTGTTGTTTTTATTTAGATTAATAAGTTTTCCTTTTATTTTATCATCCCCCCGTATAATTAGGTATAAAATATATTGCGTTATTTAATCATTGGTTTTGTTTATATTATTTAATTTAGGAATTGTAATTATTTTTAAAAAATAAATATGAGAATTTTGTATTTTTTAAACTTGTTTCTCTTGTCTAAACTTACAAATTTTTGTTATTCATTTGAATGTTATTTTCCTACCATTTTTTTTTCTTTTTAAATTTAGGAGTGCTTTTCTTTTTTTTCCTATTTTAAAATGTGTTACACTTTTTCCTTGTAATTCGGGTGCAATAAAACATCAATTAACGACATTTTTTGGTCGATCCAGAAAACCTGGAAATTCAGACATCCGGGATAGCGATGGTCCCGAGCATCCCGGATAATTGATTCTCTACAGTACTTTAGTTGAGAAAAGGAAAATCAAAATATGGCTAATCATCAATTGAGAAGGTGAGATTAGAAATGTATGTACAGTTGTTGAAAAAACATAGAAGAATTGAAAGACACTTATTTCAGACACTCTAAACTTAATTCAGCAATCAAACTGGTTTTAAAACTTTAATTCTGTTTGTCTTAATAGTGATTCTTTAGATTTTCATATTGTTTTTTCCCACTCTTAAATGGTAATTTGCGATCCCTAATTTGTATATTTTTTTTAAAACTCGATTCTTAAAGATGATTCTAAAATTATATATGAGGATGTGGCGTAACTACCACTACAAATATTAAATACCAAATCAATAGTATATAAGACATGTTAACTTGAATCCATCACGAGGTACCTTTTGATAGATGAAGGTTGACATAGTCTAAGATTAATCCCCCCACAAGGACGTAGATTGAGGAACACTCTTCATCATAGAATCAAGATGTTTCAGTTTTCATAATAATGCATTGAATTTTAGTAAAATATATTAATTTGATTGTAAAATATAATTTTTTTCTGTTTGATGTCATGTTTTTGTCATACATTAAATAAAAGTTACTTAAAATCAATCTATGGGTGTGCGTATTTCCTATATGTATATAATAAGGGCAAGGGAAATATTTTTCTCTCTTTTTCAAGGAACTTGAAAATAAGTCTAAGTATGCCCCCCCCCCAATAAATATTATCTGACGACGCCATTGCCAACAATTCATATAAATTGATTCAACTTTGTTATTAGATTTTGTCTATAGTTTTTGAAGGAGCCTCTTATGATAAAGAGTATTGGGCAATGTATCGTGATATAGGGACTGTTAGACATAGCGATTTAACATATGTTCTAAAGTAGGAATTAAATAGTTCTAAGTATAAATTATTTAAATGCAAAATACCCCTATTAAATTTTATCACTTAAAGTGAAAAACAATCATTAAAAAAATCAATGAATAATCTTTTTTTTAAAATTCATGTTTTATTTTCATTTATGGATTGAGCTCAGAACAAAAATTTGACAACAGCAACTGCATAGCGGTCACAAAGTAATAGTAAGTCTACTAAAAATAATTGACGAGAATTGCTAAATCCCGAGAGACAAAAATGGCGCATAGAGAAACCATGTATTATGTTTATATTTTAACGCTGATCCTCGTGCAAAACCAGGAGTTAAGATTCAATTCTTTTTTGTCATCCAACATCACAAAATGGACATCTTCTTCATAGCTGGACGTAATAAACATCTTCGCAGCTAGACTGAATTGAAATCGTCTTCACCAGGGCTGTGACAGTATTAGCGTAGGCAAATCCTCACATGTTATATCATTAAACCGCGAGTGTCGCTGTATACCGACAGCTTAAATTAGATTTCTGATGCATCGCCTTAAATCGAAAGTCATTATCAACCTGCCGATATATGCATTATATCGATATTTCGCGATACATCATTTATCGCTTAGTCCTAATGATAAATAAGGTGCCTATATCAGAAGAATTAGGCACTATCTTCCTAATTCTAAGTAAAACATGCCCCGTTTTCTGTTTATTGCATAATTTGACCCCGAGTTTTCATCACATTATATAAGTCAAAAAAGTATTCATTGAATTAAATTAAGTTTTTTTTTCTTTTAAATTTAGATTCTGATTTGTTCTCTTAAATGCTTGCAGTTAATATTTTCATATGAAATTGAAAAACAATCAATCATCATTTATCGCTTAGTCCTAATGATAAATAAGGTGCCTATATCAGAAGAATTAGGCACTATCTTCCTAATTCTAATTAAAGCATGCCCCGTTTTCTGTTTATTGCATAATTTGACCCCAAGTTTTCATCACATTATATAAGTCAAAAAAGTATTCATTGAATTAAATAAAGTTTTTTTTTCTTTTAAATTTAGATTCTGATTTGCTCTCTTAAATGCTTGCAGTTAATATTTTCATATGAAATTGCTGTTATAAAAAAAATTGGAGAAATACTTGGAATACTGAAAGTATGTAATTTTTTTAAAATTTATATATTTCTAATGTAATGATATACTTTTGACATAATTAATGACATGATATATCACGATGTTGTTGTCATAGGCCATTATGGCAAGGGGTGTGATTGTTCTTGTTTTCCAGTGATGGCAACTATGTCCTAGAATTAGACTTCTGCCACACCCATGTGCCACATCGGTTTATAGGACACACCCATCCAATTATCCACAGATCGTAGTTTTGACCTGAACCAGAGAATGATCACTCTCCAATTCAGTACCCCCAGAGGTATAATTTGTTATGGAACATGGAGGACTTTGTGCACCAACAGTTTTGACGTGCACCAGCCACCATTTACTGCGCAGGGAGTCTTCTGCTGGCTGGATTCGAACTCTCGTGTTGACATACGCGAGTCTAAATAACAGACAAATTAATTTCTTGGATTAAACCCTTTCTAAAAAAAAGCTTTTGACAAGCATCTTCAAATTTAGTTACTGCACGACAGTCAAGAGAGTTTTGGAAAAATTAAAGTGCAGCACCAGATAAATAAATATAAAGCTGCTAACTCATTAAATTGATTTAGTTTTGCGAGCTTTTTGATTTGCTCAACGTACCAGTCTACATTTTGATAATTACCCCGTAGAATTCCGGGATATTGAAATTATATTTACTTAAAATATTTAGTGCACTTATATTATCAGGCATATTGGATAAATATTAATTATTTAAGAAAAGAATTTAAAAATCTAAAAGCAATTAAAAATAATAATACTTCCAATGGAAAAATGCGCTAGGCAGCAGTGAATCCAAAAAGAATTGAAACAAAAGAGAATGAACATTTGAAAAAAATGGATAAGTATGACAACCAAAGCTGACATCTTCAGGGGGTACCAGCTCCGGAAGTCATAAAAGCAAAACCTTTTCTATCGAGAGAGCAAGACAAAATACTAAAATTGCTCTCTTTGTACCCCAAAAGTTTTGCCAAAGTCCAGGAAAAGAATATGATACATAATATACAATATAAAATGCAAAAAGCAAATAAAGAAGAATAAAAACAACACAAATACATACGAATAGTAAGAGCGAATGCTTACTTGAAATAAAAATCCAATAACTAGATAACACAACTGACTGCAAGGCACAACTAAAATAAACATAAAAACAACACCCCTATCCTGCACAGTATAAAGAAAAAAAAGACAGAAGTTAAGAAAGTAGTGACATCATTAATAGAAAAACTTGATCAAGACTTGAATTTTGCTTAATTAAATGAAAAACTAATAATTCTCAATCATTTTCTTAATTTTAAAATGAATATTACAAAAATTAAATAGGAAAACCATTACTTTCTAAATTTTTTAAAAAAATACTAGTTGCTTTTCGAAAACTTAAAACATTATTACAGATTTTATTTTTTTGAAAATTTTGCTGCACAAATTAGTATCAAAATTATAGAAAAAAATAACTTTGAAATTAAAATTTTTAATTTTATCTGAAACCCCAATTTTAATTTGTTTATCAACAATATCAATTTTAAAATCTAAATATTCAACATTTAAGCAATTTTCATTAGTTTTCTTCAAAACCAATTCTTTAGGATAAATATTAGAAATAAAATCATAATTATCACAATTAAATAAAATTAAATCATCAATATATCTAAAAGTTTTAAAATCACTAAACTTGCTAAATTTAGCTTCAAAAAAATTTAAAAAATATTAGCGAAAACACCAGAAAAAGAATTACCTTGCAGTATCCCTATATTTTGTTTATAAAAATTAAGGCCATTAAACAGTACATTTTCAAAAAGATTAAACCTACAAATATCCATCCAATAAGATTTATGGACTTTTTTTTTTCGTTAAATAAATATTTATCAAAAATGCCACTACGAAAATCAATTATCTGTGCATGTGGTATACTAGTGTACAAGTTTTCAAAGTCAAAAGTATTAATATTAGAAACTATGTTATTATTAATAAAATTCAAAACGTCAATGTTACTATCAATAACAATATTTTCTCTTTTTTAATCTTAAGTAAAATAATTTCAAGAGAATTAAAAAACTTTTTACTAATACTAGAATTATAACAATTTGTATCACAGACTATAAATCTAAATTTTACTGGATTTTTATGAAATTTCACTGTAGGAAATAAATATGGAAAAGTAATTCTATTCAATTTAAGCTTTAATTTTTTACTAAAAACAATAATCCTTTTTTCAATAACTTTTTGTTTATCTTCCTTTAATTTTAAATAAGTTTTATTAGCATTATATTCTCCAATAATTAATTTTTTTAAAAGTATTTACACATAATACAAAAATTATTAGATGCTTTATCAACAACAGTAATGATAAAACTTATTTTTAAGAATTTTAATATTTTCAAACAATTCATGATCAATAATGGTACCCTTAGGATAAGTATAAAACCTGGAATTAAATAAATTTTATTTAACTTTTTCCACTATTTTTGTTTTCCGTTCTGTAAAACCTTCAAGGGGCCAATGACATTTCCTAAAAATTTTAGCTATAAAAAAATAAAATCTCTTTTAACCTATAAAATAAAATCATCATTTTTCATTTTGCACCTAGTTCTGAATTTTGACCCCTTATTCCTGAATTTTGAACCTTTACTCATAAAACTAATTAATTCTTGATCTCCAACGATTTCTAAATTTCCTGTAATAACATGACCATATTCTTTATCAATATATTGAAGAAATTCTTCATCATTACAATGACAATCAGACAATGAAATATAATTTAAATTCCGACTTAAAAAAGTATAAACCTTTTTTCTTAAAGTAGAGGAATACTTATAGGCAGCTGAAACTTTAAGTTGTTTCAAAGGAAGAATATCAGAAAAACAATGAATAACTTGTGAAATCCTAGCAATTTCAAATTTTTTATCATTAAAATTAATGGTATAAAAAACCTCCTGAACATTAGAAACCTTTTTGAAAAGCAAATCAATTTTATCAACCCCAAGCTTTGATTTAACCAAATCCAGAACAATACATTTGATAAGCTCAGAATCAAATTTAATTTTATTCCTAAATTTAAAAAAGAAATTTTTAAAAACTTTATTTTTAAAGCCAAAAATATATTTCCTAATAATAAAAATATTATTAAAGTTAACATAATAGTTACAAATTTTCAAAAATTCATCAAATTCAATAATTTTTAAAGCCCCTTTACCTCTACCTCTTTTATATCTAGACATTGAACTAAAAGCTCTAGGAAAATTAAAAACTTTCAATTTATCATAAACACAATAGTTATTAATATCAATAGTACTTTAAACCATCGAATTTACTATTTAAACCATAAGGAATTTAAGACTGCTAATGTAAATATTTTCTAAATCAAGCCTTTTTTCTAAATTATCCATAAAATCCAAAATCAAAAGAGTAACATTATTAAAATCGTGAAATTGAAAAAGTAAAATTTCATAATTCATGGAACCATTTTTATTATTATTATGACTATTAAAATTTTTTATAGCAGTGAGAATTAATTCTTTTATGAAATTCTAAACTATCTGACCAATATAACATAAATTACAACAACTACATGGATTGAATAAATTATATTAAAACATTTACAAAATAATACATTGGAATGGCAGTAAATTTGTGAATTATCAGCTAAAGGACAAGTTTTGCAATTTTTATTTTTACATTTTTTAAACTTTAAAATTTTTTTTATAATTATTTAACAAATTTGTTTTACTTCGTGTGATAATCACACCTGAATTATTCATTTAATAATAACAAATCTTAAGTAAAACATGATGTGGCCATTATAAAAAGCTGAGAATTAATTAAACTTTGAAATTTCTATAAACATATCATCAAGAACTGTATTGATTTTTCAATATATATACACTTTAAAAAAATGCAAATATTAAAATATCACACTTTTATTTTGACATGCAATATATATCTATACAATTAAATAATTACTAGAATAATCATTTTGAATATGAAAAACACTTGTTGAATAGCATCCCAATAATCCCACTATTAATTGTAATACTAAAATAAAAATTAAATGGAAAATCCAGTATATTATTAAATAATCACATAAAAAATTTAAGTAAATAACCCCCAAAACACTTACTATTAAATAATCAAAAATAAGGAAAATACTATTGAACAATTACATTTTTGAAGAAAACAATTATTGATTATAAATGTAAATATGAACTTATTGTAGTTATAGAACAAAAAATATGCTAGCAACAAAAAATATACCAACAAATATACTAGAAATTCCTGATCAACCGTTAAATACACCAGCAGCACCAGAAATATTAACTGCCCCAAAAAGTGTCGCATACTGCTAGGTGATGAAAAAAAATTTAAAGATAAACTTAGGCAATAAATGTGCTTGTGGAGTATAATGGTTGTTCCACAACCCAATGGTTGTAGTAAAAAGAACATCTAAAATAGGTTAACCAAGCATAGTACCTTCTGTTCTCAGTTGAAAATAAAGAGAGTCAGATGCAGACATCACTAACAGGCCAGTCTCTTTGCAGAAGTAAAAGATCGTTATTTAGTTCTGGTGAACTATGTCTAGACACAATCATAATCTCAATAGGTGAGGATGGTAATCTGGTGGAGGAATTTCAGGCCACACTCTTAAGGATCTTGTGGGGTTCCATTTTGGACGCATTGCTCAATCACGGAAAAGTGGTTGATTGAAGACTCCAGATTTATAAAAAAGATGGGCAGTACCATTCTAGAATTCTTAATACCATTTAATGAAACAAGAAATGAGTTTTAATAGCACCATCCTTTCTAGCTGCTTTAGGGGGGAAGGAGGAAAAACAAGCTCTGTTTGACGACAGAAAGATATACAAAAATCGAATGCACCGTGTTAAGCGCAGTCAGCCCCTCAAATAGCAAAATGCTATAAACAAGTTACAGTTACAAAAAAAATTAGAAGTTTCAGTTTAATAAGCACCAAAAAGGTATAAGTTAAAGTTTTAAATATATTCAGTAGTTATGTTTAAGAAACAACGAAAAATGTAGAAGTGAAATGTCTCACGTGGATAGATAAAAAAAAAAGCCGACGCACCTGCTATTCTATAAATCTGAGGGGAGCAACATTCAAGTCCACTTCCATAAAAGAAAGTGTAAAAAATACCAAATTAATTCAGGGGACTTTATAAATTTTAGATCTAAAAATAGTGAGTGACTCAATGTCACAGGGGAAGGTCTCTATTAGTTTTTGCATTGTTTACAATAATTATAATTATTATTTTGTACCTTATGAATTTTATAAAGTAAAATGAAATTCTGCTAAATTTAATTGCAATACATTTATTTTGACAGAGTCTTTCATTTTATGGCTTTCCTGGTCCTTTGCTTAGTTTTGATTTGATGCCAACTCTTTCTTTACCTCTTGAAGAATCTCTTAGTGAATCTGATACACCTCATTCTATGGTAACTATTTATTTAAGAGACACAAAATAAATAATAATTCATCCCGTAATGACAAATTTATTATAGTTTCGAAAGCAGAAAAAGACCAGGAGAAGGATAAAAAAGAATCATCACAGGTCTTCGCAATCTAACAAAAGTAAGTTTCTCTCTGCCTTTGATGTAACGCTCTTATCCCCTTTAATAAGTTAAAATTTTGATCACCAGTTAAAATTTCTTTTGACCATCAGTAATCAAAACTAAAATATTTACTATCTATGGAGAACCTTTACATTAGGTTTTACTATACCTATGACTATAGCTTTTTTCATGGGACCTATATAATACAGGGTAATTCAAAATGAATATACTGATTACAAACGGCTATAAATATTTAATGACAAGGAATTTATCCATAAAATTTACACAGAATGTAGAAAGAACTTCAAAATTTTGTATACATGCTTCACAGATATTTTGTGCGACTTTCCTTGGTCACAGGGGCAACATCTAATCGGTAGTCCATTTCACACCATACATTCTCATGTAAAAAATATGTACTGAAACCATACATTCTGATGCAAAAATATGTAATCAAACTGTTTATCATTTACAGAAAAGAATTAGCATTAGACCTAAAAACCGATAAATTTTCAGTATTATCATTTCATCATTTTCAGTTAGCTTTAGATTAGAGGTGCACAACCTTTTTAAGTGAAGGGCTACTTGCACAACAGGTAGATTAAAGAAGTGCATGTTAGCAGCAAATATAATAATTTTTATATAAGCAATAGGGTTCTAGGGAGTTTTTTTTATCAGTAAACTTAATAACATATTAGCAGAAAATTAAATAATTTAAATTATTTGAATTTATTTAAAAGAAGAACTGATACTTTTTTTTAAAAAAGAACTTTTACCATTTTTCATTATAATATATATGTGTATTTATTGGGGAGGGAGTATAAATTCTAACCAAAGGGAAAAAACAGCAGAGCTTACAGAATGAAAGAGTAAAAAAAAATTTAAACAGAAAATTATTTAAAATTATTATTTAAAAATAATTTTATAGAGTAATATAAATTTGAATTAAATATTTTTATTAAAGAGAAGCTGTAATGGTTAAACAAAAACCTGAAATTAAAACAAATCAATTGTACTAGAGTAAATATTTATTTATATTATATTAAATATTTATTTATATTATTAAATTAAATATTTATTTATTTTAAGTTTTATTTTTAATTTTTTTCCTGAAAAATCGGCGAAGCTAAAAATTATTTAAAGCAAAATAAATTACAAACAGAAAGCAGGTTAAAACATGCATCTTCCTCAAGTTTTTGAATTTTTCATGGAACATGGTGATAACATTGTATTGAAATATCAGCATTCTAAGTACCATGTACTACGCATGGTGCCAACTGCCAAAACAAGGAAAAAATAATTTATATTTACAATGAAATATGCTCAAATAAATTGCATCAAACAGTGATTATTTAAATTTGTGATCAGAAATCCGCGTGTTGTATTAAGATCATAGTTAAAGTAACGGGATCGTAAAGATCACGAAGAAAAGCAATGCAATAATTGCAACAAAGAAAAATTTAAATTTAGCAGAAATAAAGTATGCCAATAAGTATTTATTGAAATACAAGATTTAAAATTTGCGTGTCGTAGTAAAAATCTGAACTTTTTTAAAATTAAGTTAGAATGCATCGCAGGAACTGTCGAAAAAATTATTAAAAAACAACTTGAATTCACACTGGCACAAATTAAGTACATCAAAAAAGTGATAAATTAAATGCGTGTTTTCTAACCCACGAGTTGTAATATCGCAATAAATGTATAAGGAATTTTTAAGTCACATGAAAATCAGTTGCCGCCAAAAAGCAGTCTAAACGTCACATGGATTTATGATAAAATTAGAAAAACAGAGCATGTCAAAAAGTGATTATTTAAATGGGTGATTTGTCGTCGTAATAACATACAAATTTCATACAAACAAAATAATAAAAACATGGGAATTTTGGGGAACATGGAAACATACTAATAACGTCCTTTGAAAAGAGATGAAATTGGCTTAAATAAAGCACATCAAAAAGTGATCAGTTTGATGAACGATTTTATAACTCACAAGTCATAATAAGTAATATTGGGAATTTATAAACCACATGAAAATTAGTAGTTATGAATCCCTGAAACGATCTAAACGTCACTTGGATTTATGATGAAATGGGCAAAAACAAAGGTTGTCAAAAAGTGATTATTTAAATGTGCGATTTGAAACTCGTGCGTTGTAATAATATCATAATAAAAATTCTGTCTTGCCGAAATCACGTGGTAAAATGTAGTAATAACTACCTTTAAAAAAATCATTTAGATTTATGATGAAATTGGAACAAATAAAGTCAAAAAGGGATAAGTTAGATGCATGATTTATGACTCAAAATCATAATAAATGTATTGGAATCTTAAAAGCGGCATAGAATTTGGTAATTATAAGTGATGAAAAAGGATCGTCACTTGGATTTGTGACGAAATTGGCAAAAAGTACTCAAATTCGAAATTCACACATTTTAATATCATTAAACATATTTCGATTTTTAAAACCATGTGAAATTTAATTTCATAGCAATAATTTATGAAAAAGTGAAACAGCACAGATTTACTATCTAATCAGTGCAAATTGAGAGCATTAAATACTGATAACTCTAATGTGTGATTCAAAATTTTAGTATTACCTTTTTATTTTTCTGAAGAAAAAACATTTAATTGCGTTCAGAAGTTCCCGCGAACCGCACATCAACAGTCTGCAGAGCTCTGATTATGCACTCCTACTTTAGAAATTCTTGTTAGTTTATGGAGAATTGAGGTTTATAGAATGTACAATTTAGAGATTTTCTACTAAATGTATATACATATGGACATTGTTAGTATGTTTAGTGCACAGAATAAAAAGATATTTTGAATCATTTTAATTCTAAGAATGGGATTTTGGCAAATTATGTGGTTCGAAGGAGCAACCTTAAATATTAATTTGTGTGAACTATTAATTAATTTCTCTGAATGAACATTCCTTTTTTAATAGATTTACTTTTTTGGTTAGCAAAATATTAATAATAATGTCTTGATACTCTATCTGGCCAAAAGTATGTTATGGTGTGGGGGTTCCTGTGGTTGGGAGATGTATTTGATTGCACTCTATGGCAATATTTCGTTTGTTTCATTCATTCATCGAAGCTTGCTTGGTTTTACGGTGTTCAAAAACTCGACTGACCTTCTCAGATCCTATAGAACACTTTTGAGACAGCTCAGCCAAATTCGCACTGCAAGTACTCACTGTGATGGAACTATCAAAAACTGATCTTCAGGCTGTCATCAATGCAAAAGGGAGACTTCTATTAATGTTGCCTCAGGACACTTTAAGTGTTCATACCATTGGGTGTCCGGATATTTTGGCCAGATAGTGTCAGGAGAATGGTTGAATGTTAATTTATCTAGAAATTATTTCATGGAAACTGTTACAGTGAATCAAAAAAAATATTTACACACAATTATAAAAATCATTTTTCAAACATAATTCGATGTAAAAAATTTTTTTAACTGGATTTTTATTATTCTGTTAAAGGATGAAAAATTTTTGAATTGTAAGGTAGGAAACTTTTTACACTATTTTAAACTAAGCAATTTTAAAAAAAATTGAACCAAATTCTTGTGAAATGTAATTTGAGAAATATAATATGAATGAGTTCTTAGGAAATATAATTTTAAATTATAGCTTTCTTGAAAATTTTTAACTTGGAAACCATGCTCGAGTTTTGTAGTTTTTTAACTTGTCTACATTACAATTCAGTATTTTTTCTACCATTTTTAAATAGTTTAATAAATAGTTATTAAGAATTATTTAAATACACAATTATTTTCAAGTAAATAAGTTTTATTAGTGTATATGTGTGCTTCTCAAGACACAGTTAAATACACAGAAGTGAAATTAATATTAAGAAATTCAAACTTTTGTCAATAAGTGAGAACCATTTTTTCAGATTGTGACCCTCCCCTATTTTGATGGCCGAAAATCTGAATTAGTTGAAAAAATGGTATATTTTTGCAGTATGTTTTGTGTGAGTTTCTGTAATTCAATTAATGCTTAGCACTATATTAATCAGTATATATGAATAAAAAAGATGTTTGTAAGGGTCTGATCATTGGAACAAAAGTTATTTAAGGTGATTTTACAATATAAATATATAAATATGATCTATATATTGATCTTGGATAATGATACTACTTGTCATAAAAATCAAGTGTCAAAAACTTACACATACTCAGGGTGGCCACCCACCTGGAAAACCTGGAATTATCAGGGAATTTTTTTTATACAGGTAAAAACCTGAAAAAATCAGGGAATTTGAAAGAAAAGCTGGAATTTTTCTCTTAATTTAAATTATTTTACCATCCGTTATATCCACTTTTATTTAGACGTAAATTTATCGTAAAAAAGTTTAAATATCATCAACTCAGCAATAATTTTCTTGCATTAAAATTCTCTTCATTATTACCCTGCTAAACTAGAATGCCATTTCAAACTCTTTTATGCTGGAAAATGAATGGAGAAATCTTTGACCTCATTGGAGATTATGGGACTATGCAGTTTAAGAAAGGCAAAAATGTGGAAGAAAGGATTAGCATATTTGCTTCTGTTTATAAAAGTAGCGTTTTTTTAAAAAAATCTTCTTTTAGTCTGTGACTTGAATTATTAATTGTTCAAGTTTGTGCCGATGCTTCGGGGGTATTTTTTTTCTTTCAACAAAATTATTCAAAATGTTTTAGTATTTTTAACTTTATTAAATTCTCCAAAAAATAATTGGCTATAATTTAATTAGAGATTTTATCTTGCACTCTTTTTCTGTAAGCTTTTGTCCAATGAATTATTTTTCTCATCAGAGCCAACCAATCGTTAACAGCAAAATTGTTGCATTGATGCTGATTTTCTGGATTTCATGATAACTTTTATTATGATATTTCGGAAATTGTTTCTCCTTTTACCCTAAAAAACTGACAAAAACCGAGGAATGTATGGAAAATATGTTAAATGATATATAAACTTAGAATGAAATATTTTTTTTTAATATTTGTTTATTAGAAGGAAGGAAAACAAAACTT